CTTTTTTTAGTATATTACTTGTGTGGGTAGAAGTGAATAATTTACTGCTTGCAAACCAATGATGGTAAGATGATGTCATGGGGTAGGACTGGATAAGTCTGACTTCTTCCTACTCCATTAAAGCATGTACTAGGTATAAGCAAATTGATATTGGATTATGTGTATGTGTGTTATCATATCAACTGTTTTTACATGCTTAAAAGAATAAATCAAATCAAATCAAACAGTAAACACAGTTATTAATATTATCTGTCAGCATAGTTGACACAGTTGTTACTGGTATAAGTTTTACATAAATGCAGCACAGTATAGATTATTGATCATGTCTAGACCATGAGCTTGCTTTTCCTTTCTTAATTTTTTAACACAGTTTAAGAACTATACTGTTCAGTCTCTTATAGTTTTGGCCATCAGTCAATTATATCTGAGTTCCAGTTATATAAAAGTTGTAAACAGGATGCTGTTAGCATATGTAGCCACAGTAACACTGCTCTGAAATCAGAGCATGTACGTGACTGGTTTATCAGTGTCATAAAGAATCATGACTTCTTCTCTCCTCTGTGGCTGCCGGGAAGCCAAGAGGATCTCGTGTCAGAGAGTTTCCCTCTCCATCTCAAAGGCTGTAAAAAAAAAGTCCAAAGATCAGGCAAACGCAGAGAGGAACAAATAGACTGAACAGGCAGCAGAGGCTGGTCAGTCTTCTGTACCAGCGGAGCTGCACCACCGAGCCCTCAGGCAGCAGGTAGGACCGACTCTGGCTCTGTGTGATATGGCTGTGCTTATAGCAACGTTTTAGCATTTCCTTCTGAACTTAAGATGCTTTACACAACATCAGAATAATTATTTTGCAGTGTAGGTACACATTTGTTCATGTGAACACCTTTTTTGTATTCACCAGCCTGAAACTTTAATCATCAGCAATGTTAAGACTGAAAACAATTTATCAGTTATTTAATGAAAGGGAAGGGGGATATAATTTAAGGGGTCAGTTAAATCTAAAAGTTCATGCTATACCTACAACCAAAAAAAGATTTTGTATTTCTATAAGTGGGGTCAAATTATGGAATAATTTAAATGTGGACATGAAAAACAGTACTAGAATTGAGGAGTTTAAATATAAATATAAAGGTATGTGTCATTCAAGATATATGCAAGAATAAGAGATTTAATCAAGAATGCATGAATGAAACACTCTGTTTTAAATTTTCTGTATATTACTTGTCTGGTGAAGAAGAGAATTACCTATGTAGAGATACTGCTTGCAGCCAATGATGCATGAAATTTTTTGTATAAGATGATGTTATGGGGTAGGACTGGATAAGTCTGACTTCTTCCTACTCCATTCAAACATGTACTAGGTGTAAGCAAACTGATTCTGGATTAGCATTGGTTGGATTTGTGTAAATTATGTGTGTGTGTTGATATCATTTGTTTCTACATGTTTGAAAGAATAAATCAAATCAAATCAAATCTTCAACATCGATATTCGGGCGTCTCGGGCCTCCGGGTCATTGTTGGGTTTTGCTCACATAGCACCATTACCTAAATAATTTGTGTTGGCAGTTTTCAGTTTATAGTCAAAGAAATTAAATGTAGAACAAATTAAAGATACTTTTGCACATGTGAAATACATCTGAATGTTTCTCAGCATATTGTAGCTGTTTCCAATATTTTTCATTTATTTTGAGGTCTTTTTTTTTAAACAATATAAAATAAGTTAAATTGTATAAATAGGAAATTGTAATGGTTTAAAGTTACGGGGTGGGTTTTCTACTTTATTAATGTAAAAGTACATTTTGCTGACATTACTTACATGAAGTTTCATGGCAGAACTGTTACTTGTAGCTGAGTATTCTATATTGTGGTATTGCTGCTTTCTTTTAAGGATCTGTACATTTCTTCAAACCACTTCATCGTTTCACGTGCTCTGCTCTCAACAGGAGTGAGGACATCACCATGGAGATGAAGAGTATCCTGAAAACCAGCAAAAGTAGGGATGTTTTTTTTTTTACAGTCCAGTCGTTGCCATTGCACCTTTTGTCTGCAACTTGCATGTTCAGTAACTCTTGACCTTTGTTCGCTAAGGGGGGACAATTTGGTGTCATTGACCTCATTCAGTGAGATGCTCATAAATGGCTGTAAAGCTTTGGTGGTGACGCCCCGCAGCCACTCTGACAGACTAATAATCAGATTTGATTGTTTCTTGAAATTATCAGTATCTTCACTGATTTACTTTGTGTGTTGGAAAAGCTCATTTTGCCTTTTACCCTCATTTTCACCTGTGTGAACTGAAACTAACTGTGACTCAACGGACACTGTTTCCCTCTGAATGTGCCCCTGCAGGGGGGAGCTTGCTGCCGAAGGTGGAGGACAGCAGCACCACGCAGAGCAGTTCCATCGGGGCCGTACGCTGGACCCTGCCCGAGGAGAGTGTTCAGCCTCACAGCTCGGCCCCGAGCATGTGCGCCAGAACCCAAGACCACACCAAACGCTCACAGGTACACGACATTTCGTCGGTGACTTCTGTTTAAGTTTACCTTGATGTTAAGATCATTTTAAAAGCTGTGAATCTGTTAAACTTCCAACAACAGGCTGTGTAACTTTCATAAAAATCCACAGCCTGAATAAACATTTCAGCGTGACCTTTTGTGCTTCCTGCAGCAACATTCTCGTCAGAGCAGCCTGAAGGATCTGCGCAGCCTACAGGAGTGTGTGCAGTTCATCGAACACTGGAAAGAGCAAGTGGACCAAGTCTGCAAGGTACGGTAGGACACGAGTGAAGGAAGATGTCATTTTGCTCAGATCCATAGTCCTGTGATTGTGCATTAAGTCATATACTGTAAATTCAGAGGGCAAAGAACAAATGGATGGTACAGAAATGTGTGAAGTCTGAATGTCTAGCACATGAACTGTAGGCATACAGAACAAGACAAGGAAGCACTGATGTTAAAGTGCTTGCCCAATTTTTAACCCTCAGTCTCTGAGAATAAAGAAGCTACTGTAGCAGAAGACAAAATCCACTGATAAACAATTGAGAAACCAGGTATTGCAGGTTACATGGCTCATCCTTTCCCAACAGCAAAACCTGCAACTATCTAAAATTTCTCTTTAACATCCACGGCTACAGGTCATTGCTCTCTTCCCATGACACGGGACCTTTAGCGTGTGAACCCGTATCACACATGTTGTATAAACGTTGCTACAGGAAGCTATTACTTTGTTTGTTCATGCAGTGTGAGGACTAGGTTAAGTGGCTGGGTGGAAGCTGATACAACATCTTTACTAGCTCTTGTACAACCGGGTTACACGACACCGCCCCTCTGCACTGACACATATAGGCTGGGTGTAAGCACATACTGAAAGACATTATGCACTAATTTGGTGTTTTACTAGGGACTCATGATTTCAGCTGTTTGACATCTGTAAATGAAAAACCCCTCACACGTGCCCTGTTTAATGCTGACAAGACCCGTAAATTAGTCACAGCTGGTTGTTTCCAACCAGAATGACCTAAAAATCTAATTGTCATAGTAATACACCGTTGTGTTTTAAGAGTGTGTGGTGTCTGTGTTTTTATAGGGTGGAAGTGATCCAGAGGAGGGCACCAGTAAAGAAGCGGTCCAGAAAACAGACCAACATATTGAGCGCAGCCTTGAGGAGAGCAGGAAACTGATCCTGGAGTGGGCTGATGAACTCCACCACGTCGACACGGTCAGTGCGCACACCGGTCCATGAGTGAGCGAGTAGTACTGGACCACTTAGAGAGGTCCAACTGTAGCTATCAATTACGGATAGAAGGCACAGTCTTAGTAGCAACCATATCCATCTTGACTTACTGATTTTGTGTACTTAGCTCCTGAAAGAAACCCCCAGGGCATCTGAGAGTGAGGAACATGACAATGAAGAAAAGAATAGCACTGAGCACGCACAGCTGAGGATCATGGAGTGGGCGAAGGAGCTGCAGAAGGCAACTGAGGTGAGGAGCAATGAACCTAAAACTGCTTCAAAGTTCATGTGTCAGCAGCAGAAATCGACACCTACAGCATGAAGAGCAGCTCAGTGTGGGAGTACAGGAGTGCAACTCTCATGCCAGTTTTTTTTATTTTATTTAAGGAAACGTGCCACATGTTGCAGCTGAACTGAGTATTTGTATTTGCAGAACTGGGGCGTGCAGAGCGACAAGCTGGGTAAAGTGTTACGTCTGCTGTTGCTGAAGAATACACGTCTGGTCAACCTGCTGCCTCTGCTCGAGTTCATCACCTGGTCTCTGCTCAAGGAGGACAGCTCGGTGAGCAGTTCCTTTACTTTAATCAGCACTGACACACACACTTTTTCATGGCTCAAAAACACAAAGTCCAGAAAAGGTCTTAGGTGGTTTGTAACTGAAAAAAAGCAGGTTTGATGGTGAAACAGTTTAAAATGGACACCTCAGAAGGCCTAAACGAAATAGAAACTATCCGAATTCACAGAATAGCATCTTCATTGCTGTGATGACACAAATAAACCGGCATTAAAGCCATAAAATACTGAACTGTCTTAAACTCAGTGGATGCCACGCAGTGCAGACATGACTGGGTTATGACACTAGTTTACATAAGGTGTGATTTGAATGAACTTTGCTCTTTAATATGCCTGTGATTAGACTCAGTCATACAGTTTGTGATTTTGATCTTCCTCTACCCTGATAAACTGTCAGTGTCTTTGATACCTGATAGTGAAGACTGCAGATAAACTACCAGCACATTTGCAGATGATGGTGTAGTGTGCATTGAAAAAGAACAGCTGGTTATTTGTGCACAGTTTGGGCTTTAATTAGTGTTAAGCAAAAAATACTGGTTTGGCAACACTGGTGTTAGAACCAGTGGTAACCAGCAAAACTGTGGGAAGGTGTTTTCACGAATTTTCAAAGATTTACTACAGTTAAATGATGATGTTTCCTAAGCACTCAGTCATAACGAAATGAAGACACACGGAATAAAATAAAAAAGCAGTTTCCTGTCAAACACGTTTTGTCTTTTATTCCTTTTCAGGGGGTGGTTGCACAGTTATGGCTGCTGGCGAAGCAAAGGACCTGGAAAGCTGGGATTCCAAGATACATTCCCAACTCAGGTATGCATTTTTAAAATCAATCATTTTTATGCAGCTGACCTTTGACTCTTAGCTTAAGTTATAGCTCATGACAGGGTGGCTCACTATTGTTTAAACTAGTGCTTCCAGACCTTGTTTTTGCTAGTGATCCCTTAATACAAAGTAACAACAGTGCTCCACCACTTTAATCAAACACTGAGTTTCACTCAGAATTAAATGGAGTTTTTCAAAAGAAAAATACAAAGATCAGACAAAAATTAACCTTAATCACCTCTTCACTGTTTTCTTCATTTTGTGGGGACCCACCGGTTTAGACCGTGTACAATCAACATTTCCCTTGTTTAGCCACTGTAGCTGAAGTAAAATGTCTGTGTCTCTATTTTCAGTTTGGACTTGGATTTGCAGCGCAGCAGGTAAGGTCAACGAACACGTACAACAGAAAAACAGCAAACATCACATCTGCAGTATAATCAGCTTTTTTTTTTTATCTGTTTTTTTCTAATAGCTGATGTGATTCTGGACCCCACGACCAACCACCCGTGGCTGCAGCTGTCAGACGACCAGCTTATGGTCCAGGAGGGCCTTTCACCATCTGCTCAGCCTTGCAGCTCCCAGCGCTTTGACAGCTGGCCCTGTGTTCTGGGCTGGGAGGGCTACAGCAGTGGCCGCCACTACTGGGAGGTGGATATACCCAAGAAAGGCCACTGGCGCATTGGATTGACCACTGCCAACTCCAAACGGCATGGGCGCTTCACTATGACCCCAAAGCGCGGCTACTGGGCCCTGTGGCGCAGCACGCGTCAGTTCTATGCCTGCACCGAGCCAGAGACGCAGCTGCCGGTTGGCCTCATACCTCAACGCATGGGAATCTACCTAGACTATGAAGAGGGCCAGCTCTCCTTCTACAACACAGAAACAAAGTCCCACATCTACACTTTTACTGGAACCTTCAAAGGAAAGCTGTACCCTCTGTTCGCCCCGCTGGATGGTCGCACGCTCATGAGAATCATCCCGCCACACAAAATCACAGTAAACTGACAAAGATGAGCCTGTAATAACTCCTATTGGACATTTGGAAGAATTGAAATGGACTTTAAGGTAACAGAATTAAAATAGTTTTGACCAAAAATCTACAGGACGTTGTCAGACGACGCCGTGTGCACTGCAGGTGCTGGTGCTGCTGTCAGCTGTTGCTTCTGATCCATTAGGTTTTACTCTTTTTGATGTATCGATCAAGAAATCAGAAATTTCTTGTGCTGTTGCATGCCTGTTTGCAACCAGTGAGTGAAGCCACACTTATTACAAACAGGTGCAGTTTGACCAAACTGACTAAAAATTTGAAACTCAAGATCTATAGTTAACCACCTGCAGGTCCTCTACCATCCTCCAGGGGGTGCTGAAGCTACACCTCTAATTCCCATTGTCTTGGATGATGATGTCTTTTAAAATCAGAATTCAGTTCACTGAAAGGCACAAAGATGGATGTTAAAGAACTAAATATTTAAAATACTTTTATTTTATGATTAGATGTTAAAAAGATGTTAGGCTGTGTCCAAGCTAACAACAGTACATGCTGAAAAATCCCTTAGATATTAGATATTGAGAGGTAGACACAAAAATGTGGAAACATTCTGCATCTACTTACATCACTGCACTTCAATGCACTTTTTGATATGCACATAAACATTGTGTATATATCATGTACATAACGCAGGGTGGGTCATTAATTTGTTTTTCCATAAACTTTTCACGGAGGAAAATTATTTAGAGATGTAAAGGTCTCTGGACACGTTTTCATGCAAAAAAATCTAGCTTTGCATGAGGAGGTGTGGCTGGAGAAGTGCTAAATAATGTAACAAATGTTTGGACTGAAGAAGATGAAAAACATCAGTCTTTTGTCGGCACATTGTAGATAAAGAACTCTAAACTGCGTGTGGGTCTGTGTGCTGGCTGTCAGGACGCTCTCTTACAAGCCCAAGGTCCGTAGGCTTCACAGTCGACAGCGAAGAGCCTCCCACCCCCCCTCAGGTCAGCACAGTCTCTGTGTTCAGAGTCGAACTCCACCGTCACCCTGTAACACACGCAATGAAGCTGACTGAATTCAAACCCACACGTAGTTTATCTGTATAACATATTTAGAGCAGCGGTGATTAAAAACTGATGATATCTATGTATTTCAGATATTAAAGTTGTATGTCTGTGAATTTATATACACACGTACTGTATTACTGTAATAAAAGCAAATTAAGCTAATTATGATGTTTGTGTATTGATCTTCAGCAAGATGCACAAAACTTGTCATTACCTACGTGACCTCAGTTATTAATGTGAAGAACATTACTGGCCACTGTCAAAGCAGTGTATATTTAATGAGTATTAAAGATTACGATTCTGCTTTAGTCTGTTCTCAGCTTTGTTTGTGTAATATTTAATGACTCGTGTAATAATTTCAATGCTAATTTAGGTACGAAATCAGTACAAAGTATGACACTGAACATGTAAAAATAAATAAAAAATTAGATTTCCTACAGTACACCTGTTCTACTGTGATGAATGTAGAATCAGTCTTCTTCCCTTAAACACTGATCTACAGAACATTCTCCAATTTTCTCCAGTTACTCAGGAGTTTAACGTTCCTCTAATTTAACCCTGTATTTGAAACATGATCTGCTGGCTGGGTGCCAGTGGGTCTGGACTTACGGCATGTAGCGCTGGATGTCCGTCCCGTCCCACCACAGCCACCGACCCTCCTGCTGGGAGTCTGTCAGTCCCACCCACAGAAATGGGAACCGAGAGAACTTCCTCATCACACCTTGGATGAACTCCTAAGAATGAAGCAACATTTAGAGGAATTCACTATCAAACTCAGGGTTTTAATCTGTGACACAGTTACACAGTCACCATCTCTGCGGGGTCTTTGATCACAGCCAGACTGCTGTTGTGCAGCTGGCAGAACTCGGCGCTTGCGTTCCACTGACGATTTTCCTCAAGTCCCACTGAGAAGAAGTAGCAGTGACCCCTCCACCACAGCCAGCCGCCTGGACACAAACGGCATCTGGAGTCTTCACGCAGCACAAAAGAAATTCTGGTGTAAGTGCTCTATGATGTCAAATGTGTATTTTATTATAAGAGGAAACTGTAGCTCACCTTGAGTGGCGGTGTGGAGCATCAGGTTCAGATCACGGAGCCCATTCTGGCACTGCTGCAGTCGCTCCACCAGCTCCTGTCCTGAAGTCCCAGAGGTCTGAGCCACTTGTGGTGCTGCCATCCACATGACTTGAGACATCGGTTTTTACAGAAGAACACAAGATGAATCAATAATAGTGCAACTTCGTGCAAGTCTGAGGCGCTCTCACAGTAAACACCCATTTTAGATCAGATAAAGGGTAACAGATTTAGTACAACAAAGTATAAAGACTATCCTTATGCAGTATTATCATTGCCAATTCCTTTTCAGTCCAAGCTATAGTCTCTTGGTTAATTAATTTGGAAACTACATTAGCTGTCATTTCACAGACTCATTGAATGCTCAGAAATTAATCGTGTATATACAAAAAACAATTTGAACATTATATGTGGATCGATTACCAGCCTATTGAGCGCAGACCCAGGGGCCCAAGGGTTTAGAAGGGCCGTAGAATTTATGAAAAGTCAATCAGAGGACTTGAAAACAACACAAAACTACCACAGACATGCAAAACAACAACAAAATAGACACAGAATGACCACAAAGAACCAGAAACGTACTACAACCACATGCAAAACAATAACTAATAAAAAATTAAAACTCCCCCAAAAAAAAACCACTGTGGTCTTGTCTGTAATCATTTTGGGTATCCTTCAGTCTGTGGCTTTATTGTAAGGACGACTGGGGACTTTCTACACATCTGTGCCCAGGGGCCTATGACAATCCATCCATGGCAGTATCAAATTTATCCTTTATAGGTATCAATGTTTTTTTTTTATTTTATTTTATATTTATACTCACCAAATAACACCAAGGGCAAAAGGAGCCCAATCAGGACCACAGTTGCCACGGCAACAACCATCCCAGATGTCAGACGACAGGTTCGAGGGGACGCTGGATCTGTGAAGGTGAGAAAACGGGTAAATAACTGCGCAGCGCTGGACTTTTAAGGACTTTGTGTATACATCTGCTGAAGTTGCAGGTGTAGGCTGCAACAGCAACAAGCACAGCTATGGTCTGGTTTACATTTCCAGTCCTCAGTGAAAGTGTCTCACTTTTGTCTTAAGCACTGTCAGAAATCTAATGGTGAAATAGTGCATGTACTTGTATAGGTAAGTAACCGTGTAATTACAGATAGAGGTTTAAACCACATTAGCTCTTAAATCTCTACAAAGTCAGAGAATTCAAGCAACAAAATTAAGAATCACTGTCACCAAAGTTTCAAATAGAAAGAAGAAGAATAATAATCAAACACTCAAAAAGACAATTCTGTAATATTAGGATTTTAAAACCACTTTTGTTTGGATGCTTGGTTACTGAGAAAGTAAACTATGTTTGGCTTTTGTACAGATGTTCTTTGTATCGAACCTGCAGGTGTTGCCCTCTTTGCCTCAACGTCCGGGCGTCTCTCTGATGAATCCATGCTGATATTTGATGCACTTTGTCCACTCATTCTACTCTTTCACACACTTGCCTCTCATTTACAACACTTTCACCATGAAGCTGAACAAAACGTGGCCACTCCACCCCTTCCTTCCTCATATTACAACCCGTTTCTTCAACACAAAGTGAAAAAGAAAAAGGTTTTGAGTCCCCAGAGGTTTAACAGAGAAAGCTGGCAGGGTGTAACAGTACTAACAGTTTACACATGCAGAAACAGTTCATATCCACGTGTGTATAGAGAGTTGGTCCAGACCTGAATTAACAGCTTTGTCACTGCTGCGACTTTCAGACGCACCTCTACAGTGTGTGTTTATCGGCTGACCTGATTCTTATCTACAGATGATCTCCTCATTATCAGACAAGGCCGTCGGGTCAAAGTGATTGTCACAGTGAGGTGAACTCAAGTTTGTTTTCTGCTGATAAAAAGTGTTTAATTTATATAATCACAGTTTATTATATTATAAACATTATCTTATTTACAACAGGTGCTTATGGGAGGCGGTGAACTTGGAGCAAACCTTACATAAACACTGAATTTAGGTTAGAACTGTTCAATGAAGACTTTAACTAGAGTCACAGCTGGAAACCTTTATCAAAATACATTAGTGTAATTTCCACCCCTTAAAAAGCTTGATAATATTTGTTTAGTTTTCAGACATCAGACACAGATGTGGGAGCCTATTTCTCTCAGGAAAAAGTTACAAAGTCAAAGTAAAATTGCGATATACTGCTGTTAAGTCAAAACAAAAGGAGTAAAAACATGTCTATCTTTTAATTTAGACGTATTTATTTTAATCTGTTTTTGATCATATGTGGAAACGAGCTTCCACACACACAACATTAAGAAAAAATAAAGACAGAAGGAAAGCGGCAAAAGAGTGTATTATAGTTAGTTAAAATGAATTAGCTCAAGTTCTAAATATAAACTGTTATTTTATGAACTAGATTGAAAACCAGCTCTTGTCCCAAACATTTCTGCTGTGTAAAGGTTTTAACATGTTGATACCAAATAAAATAATTATATTGCTTTTGCTTTGTTTTCAGATTCCTGTTTCTTGAGATCCCAGACAACGTTATCTCCCAACAGCTCGGTGAAACGTGCCTTCAGCTGCAAAACACAAAAATAAAGCAGCTGTTAATGGACACATGTTCTAACATACTGGTGTTTACACAACACAAACCTGAGTCATTCCTTCTCAAATATGCTGCAAATGATTACCGCACAATTTGTTTTTTTTAGTAAAGATGAAAGTTGGATCCACTTCAATAAAAACAGCACCCGTTTGTTTTGTCCACCTGGGGACCGACGTACCTGCTGAAGTACTACATCCTTTGTGGCATCAGTAGCACAGAGGAGAGGCTCTGCTGACGAGCACAACGCCGACAAACTGATTTCTGTTTTTTCTGCAACTGGGGAAAAAAATGTGTGAAATGCAAATGAGGACAAAGAGGCACAAGGTCGGTCAGACAGCAACATTTGCATGCGGCAGAATAAAAGGTCCGATGAGGTCAGATGTTTATGGAAAACAAATCGACACGTTATATATATATAGCCTTAAAAAAAAAAAACTTTTAGATTTACAGTGCATTTTGAATCTATTGATTACAAATTAAATACTGTTTACGTTACTGCTGGCTATTTCTAAAGAAAATAATACATATTGAAACTGTTTTCTGAATTGGTTTGGTTGCAACAACCTGGTGTGTTTGCCAATTTAGACTGATTAATTTTGCCTGGTGTGTATGTTGTCGACCCAACACTGGCACCAACAGTGGACACTAGCGCATAAGGTGCAGTGAAGCGCGGTGACTTATGGAGGAACCGGACTGAACAACAGGGCACAAGGTATAAAAAAAATAAAATAAAATAAAAACTACTTTTGCCATGCTTGAGTAAGTGTATTACTAATGTCAAGTGGATACACTGTTGGTAACAGACTAAAACCTTCTCACCTGTATAATGTGTGACAGTTGCTGGATCACTTTCCTGTTGACCCGCCACCGTTCGCACTTCAAAGTAATACTTGGTGCCTGATGTCAAGCCGTCAAATGTGTAGCTGAGTTGGTTAACCACAGTATCAGACCACCTTTGGCCCCAGAAGGTGGAGCTGAGTGTGACATTATATTTAGCTGTCGCTATGTTGGCAGGGGCCTTCCAGTTGAATACAATGCTGTTTTTATTTGAGGAATTGGCTACGGCATTAGATGGAGGCGTTGGCACTGAGCAAAGGTAAGAAAGAAAAAGGTGACACAGTTTATCAGATTATGCTGCTGTCACATTTTGATTATAAATATCTAGTATTTTCAGTCAGGGAATATTTGAAAAAGTTTTCATGAATTCATGGTCACGCATTTTTCCAGAAACAGCCTTTTAATGCATTTACATACTGTGGCTTCACATTATGACACTGCTCCACAGAAATGGATTCATAAAACAGTCTATTCTTGGGACTGCAGGTCGGTTTTAGGGATCGTAGGGAATAAGAGAACAAGAAGGAGCAGACACCATGTGACTCAGCAGGTAAACAACCTATTCAACTTGACTATGTCCTGCTGTTGTATCAAACACTGTGCAGCATGAAATCAGATTGTGCTTCCCCTGGCATAGCAAAAATGCAGATTTTTGACCGATTTCTTTATTAAAACGATTCTAAAGAGCCACACCAACTATAGGTAACCAAAGAAAACACCAAATCTGCCAAGAACATAACAAATAAAACACATAAATGAGGGAAAACAAACAGGGGCCCTGGTAACTCACATGTGAAGATGGAGCTTTGGACAGGCGGGCTTTTGAATTGTCCACTAACGCTGCAGACAATCACCGTGTAATTAGCTGCAGTCTTTAGATCACCAAACGTCACGTTAGGTGTAGTAGTGAGGGTTGTGCGAGTAGTTTTGCCATCCAGCTGGAGCTCGATGGTGAAGTTTGAATGGCTCCCAGCATGGGGGACCCAGGTGGCATTGAGGGAGGAGGATGTTGTGCTCAAACTGAGGTTTGAAATCGGTCCAGGAGCTATGCAGGAGTCACAAAGTCAGATTAGTGACACTCAAAACACTGCAGACATTTTGTTCTTTTTCTGTGTGTCAACAAACAGCATTCCACCTCCAACCTTTAGAGTTACCTGTGTAGCTGACAATCGTCTCATTGTCTCCCTCCAGAAAGCCATTGGCCAGCGCTGTCACACTGAGGGTTATCCTGGTGCCCTCTGGCAGGTTTGTTACGGTCACGTTAAGCTCTGTTTTGGACATCTTGCGCTGAAACAAGTCGCTGTTAGGAAGAGAAACAGTTATGTGATTCAAACTGCTGCTGCTGGCGGTAAAATGGCAAAAAAAAAATTCTGACAGGTCAAGAAACATGATCAAGTATTGTGCAAATAAAAACTCTTTGCTGCTCAGAACATGGTTCAAAGTTCCTTCATAGGTTTATACAGGACAACTAACTAAAAGTACATACTGGTTATTGTCATTCATAGCCTTCACCCAGAATCCTGATGTGTTACCCACAGGCGGCGCCCAGCTGAGCACCAGAGACATGTTGGTGTTATCAGACACCATCAGGTTGGACACCTTACCAGGCCCTGAAAGTGGAAGCAAACAGAGAAATGTAACACACCATCACCATGTTTACTGATAACAACCACAAATACAATGTCACGTGTCAGATGTGGATCTCATTTTCCTCCACTGATTTGGAATTCAAATTAACCAGCTATGCATCTCTTCTTCATTTAAATCTGCTGCCAGCCCTACAACAACAAGCGGTTAATGTGTAACACAGTTTGTGCAGCATCACAATCACTTTATCTGGGATTAGGAGACAAACTGACTAGTGTACACATTGGTCCTGGATTCTTCACTCCATAAAGAGTTGTCGGCGACTCGTGAGGTGACGGTGAATGTGTAAAGGTTTCCAGGTGTTAAATCAACGACCGTTGTGTTCGTTGTGCTGCTGTTAATCAGTCTATTGTTGAACTCAATGAGGTAGAAGTCCACGTTTCCATCTGGCTTGTTCCAGCTCAGGGTGATGGAGGTGTCTGTCACCATGGTGTCCTTGAGGTTTTTGACTTGGCCGGGTTCTGAAAAAAAGAAACAATTACCGGGGTTTATTACTTTGTTTAAAATCTCTTACTTTACACATGTATATTATAAGTCATAAGATATGGTTAGCTAAAACATTTTCACAGACTGGCCTTCCTTTCAATTTGTCTTTTCCTAAATTTGTCCTATGACGTTTGCTGTTATTGTTTCATCACTGTTATTCGCTGTTTTGGTTGTGTGTAAAGCTCTACAGATAAAGTTTACTACTACTTAAATAAAAAAGAAACCTGCATTAACATTAGAATATCAACAGCGTGCATCAGAAACATTGTTGTTTGACTCCCAAATAATTAGTGGGACTTTTTTGCAAAATTCTCTGCATAAAAAGGTTCTTCACTAAGAATGAAGTGTGAGATGCACTCATCAAAATGCTCCCAGAAGCGAGGGAGTAACTGAAGAGCAGTTTTATAGGCTCAGAGTTTGTCACGGTGAGAACAAGATAATTTGTGACTAGTGGCTTTAATGGAAAAATGGAAGTGGCCTTAAGATGTGTTGCTACTCGGGTTCTCTAAAACATATTCAGAATTATTACTAAAACACTGGAGATCAAACACCATACCTCTTTTCATTTCTACTTTCTTATAATGCAGCAGATCTGTAATATGAAGCTAAAAGGTGTGAATGAATCTAAACTATTTATGCAGCACAGTCGGATGCTACTCACTGGTGTAGAAGGAGACCACCTGGGGGTTAAGGTCTCTCTCACATTTGACAGCGAACACCTTGACTTCGTAGCGAGTGCCCGGTGTCAGACTGTCAAGGTCAAGGTGATAGGTCAAATTATCACAGGTCACATTTTTGTCACCGTTGACCTCTAGGCGGTAATGGCTGATGTTACCAGGCCCGGGCTGCCAAGCGAGACTGGCGCTGGAGGAAGTCACGTTAGACTTGTTGACTTGGCCAGTGAAACGATCTGTGGTTGGAGATGGGACGATAATTGTTAATCAGCAGAGAACCTGAGGTAGGGCGCCCAAAAGACCTGCTGGAAATCACTGCATATGTTGCTTCATACACTTAACTTTACTTGTTTTAACATGTGTGTGGACAAAACCAGAAGAGATGCAAAAGATCACACACAATAATTCCTCTTACAACTTTTTTCTGCAGGGTGACAAACTGTGGCAGAGAATTACAGCAAGGCTGTTAGAGGAGTCTTACCTTCATAACAAACAAAAGGCAGAAGATCTAAACAGTTTCTTTCAACCCAGGCCCCAAATCTGAGCACGGCCACACAGGAGTCTTCAATGTACTTATCGTCGGTGGTCGGTAGCAGCATCGATGATCGCACACACTCTGCCTGGAGTGATGGCGGTGTGATTGTCACAGGTGCAGCTGTGGTATTTGCTGCGGTGCTGTTCATGTATGGTGTTGTGGTGCTGTTCATGTATGGTGTTGTGGTGCTGCTCATGTATGGTGTTGTGGTGCTGTTCATGTATGGTGTTGTGGTGCTGCTCATGTATGGTGTTGTGGTGCTGTTCATGTATGGTGTTGTGGTGCTGCTCATGTATGGTGTTGTTGCCAGGCAGGCTGGGAAGGAGGATTTCAACACGGGCCAACCAGGGTACCAGTTCTGGAAGGTGAGGGGATCCCCGTTGGCCCAGCGGGTCCAGGACATGCTCGAGGTGGAGAAGTTCTTGCGGAGGCCGATCCAGGACTCACTGGTGAGGTTCTGGACGACTGTGTGGATGTTGTCAGGGGTCAGAGTCACCAGCTCTTTGAAACAGGCCTGACGGGACGTGAAAGGCTGCAGTCACTGTTTGATAGCTGAGCTGAACCCAGCTTTTCATACTGTGATGTCAAAACTACAATATGTAACTTAAGGTAGCACTAGCATAAAACGCCAAATCAGCTCACTCTGTGACAGCACCTCTCCACATTAAGACAAGTTTTAAATCAGATTTCTACAACAAAGATATTTGAAAAATGTCACATACTGTAGCTTTAAGAAGGTTGTTTTAACAATGTTATGTTTAGTAAATGTACAGTGAGACAAATCACAACAAAAACAGCTCAGCAGGATTTAAATGATACTGGTAAAGCTGGGGTTCAATAGCATTTAATACCGTCCTGCTCCAGTGAGATCTGACATTACTTCATTTTTACACTTCAGTTTCTGTTTGGACATGCTAACAGTGAGCTTTAGAGGTGCTGACTGTGCTAACTGTGTCACCTTTATACAGAGCCATGTTTGCATCCAGTTTTTATGCCAATCTAACCAGTCAATTATCAGCAAGAAAGCAAATGTGTGTATTTCATAAAACATCAAATTAGTGTTTCAGTCGGTTGATAAATGTTGATTTGTGACCACAGCTTTTCTTGTTTCCTGTATTTCATATAGTTCTTCACTTTGCAATCACACTACTGTAAAGCATATTCACAGAGGCAGGTAACATCAATGTAAAATGGCCAACAGGTATTTAAATGAAGTGCTGCTGTAATAAACCTCATTATCACAGTAATGCAGGGTGGATGAACATTATCGCTAGCTCTGTTTTCAATGCAATCAGAGAATCACATAATTAAAGCTCCAAATAGGTGCCTCTGTAAAAACTAAAAAACCCCACATACTCCTCATTATTTCCTTCATGTTTCAGCCTGCTTTTGAACCAAGCTTCATGTTGTACCTGGCAGTGGTTCCTGGCCTCGTGCCAGGTGACATTGTTGAGTTGGGGGAAGTAATCTTGCTCTGCAGCGCCGTGCATCACCATCACAGCTGAAGTGATACAGACAAGAAAGATCTGTTGTTATCACTGCAGGTAATATTCTCATTCAATATTAAGTGCAAAATAACTGCATCTTTCACCCAAGTTAATTCCAGTAAGGTGTTAATTAGTGTTACTGGACTTTTGTCAATACCAGTCATTATTTGCATCACCATTTTTGCACTGTGCATTTAGAACAACACCAGATAAAGACGACTCACCCCAAGACAGCAGAACACACACTTTGTCATGGAGAGAGAACTTTGGCATGTTGGTTCCCAGATTCAGAGCAATTTGATGATACTTCAAGCCACTGTAGCTACAAAATGAAAGTATATATTTAAACTAAACCATATTCAAAGTTATTGACAACAGTGCTCGAGATGAAAGTGAACACTTACCAACGCTCCCTGGACAGACGGAAATGATCTCTCAGTATGAGACCCGGTCTTATACCACAAACACTATCGCACCAACAGGAAATAAACAGATCATTTGACTATTAACACTGAGCTCATTTCATCCAGGACAGGATGACGACCTATAGGTGATACTGGTTTTCTATTAATCTGATAAACATGCAAAGCACTAAAATAAGGAAGTGTTCTAACCAAAAGAGAAAATAACCTAGCAGGAAGACAAACAAAGTCTAATAAAATAAACGGTGTGTGCTGTATAATAAAACAGATGATACAGAACAGGATGACATTATGCTTTTATTTTGGCTTAACATTTTGAGTAATAAAATGAAAATGAGTAAAAAAAAAATAATGAAATTTTCACAAAGATAAACCTCTTGTACAAAACTAAGATCCCAAAAATAATCTACAAAAGAAAAATAAATGGCTTTAAGTCTTTTTTTTTTTCTTTTTTTTTTGGAGACGCAAGAACAAAAAGTGGTTTTATAAACGGACAGTGATTGGTCAGACCCAACTGAAGTGCTGATTAATGACACATTGTGTGATTTACAGATGGGAAGCTCAGAATAGAGACAGTATCATCTTCCTTTATCAAAGACACTTTGTTCCCATGATTCATTTGTCAAATACTTAAAAAACAGAAACCTTTGATAACTTCTGTATCACATTACCTGTTCTGACTCCCCCGCCACTGACACCTCCTGCACTTTGTTGGGTATAAAACTTACAAATACTAAAAGGTTAGTTTTGGGTTGATCCAGCCAGCCCCTCATCTACCAAACCTAGAGTTAATTTCAACGTAAATCATGACAATACATGCTCCCTGTGGGTGAAGTGACAGATAATGAACTCATACTGATGTTGTCTTTTGCAGCTTTGTGTTAAAAAAAATTATGTTTAAAAAAAAAAAAAAGGTAGGATAACAGGCCCACTGACAGAATATCACCATTAACACCATACGGTCAAACCTGTGCATTTAAGTTTGTTTACATTGTTCTTGTGCCAAATATGGGCCAAATTTTCTCACATAGACACATGAATGTCTGCAAGTCAGTACAGAATACAATACAGTAATACAGCAACAGTTCAAGCTTCATAAGGGTGACTGCACGTTCTCGAATGGCAGTGACTTGTTACATAATAATCTTAGAAATGCCTCTGAGACTCTAAACTAAATTCAATAGTTCTTTTAAACCCAATTCAACTACTTCTATTTTAACTAAAAAAAAGAAATGTCACTGAAAACCAAGAATCCATTTGGTTTTCATCTACTAACAGACTAAATCTTAACCATTTTAAATGACCATGAGGCAGATAAATGTAGAAAATTGAATGATTAAAAGTCAAAGAAAAATCCCTGCCAACATAGACAGACTAAATCCAGTCCCTCTCAATTCAAGTCCCACCCTGACATGTTGTTTGAGTAATTAAACACCAACTTCACTGACTTTCAGCGTTTTAAAAATTACATAAATGGCATTGGATCTAATTCGCGTTTATCTCACCTCCCTCCATGTTTACTGTGCACAGAAATGCCTGTTAGGTCTCCTGCAAGAAGCAGCAGGGTGAAGCACACAGACAAGTCTTGCATCACAGAGAAAAAAAAAACTTTCTTGCAGGAGCCCTAATGGCCATTTCTGTAGTATATTATCAACTGAATTGAGACCAAAGGGATTTCTATTTCCAATGATGAAACCCCCCCCCCGAAACAAACCAATGGCTTAGACACACTAGAAAATGCTGTTTGTTGTCATCATCATTGCAGAACATTTCAGTCGCTGTCACTCTTCTCTCCTCTCTGCAGCAGTTTCTTCCCATTGATGGGCAGAGGAAGCTCCTGCTTCGCTGGGACCCTGGACTTAGATTTGCTGTGGAGACAAAAAGGACATGTATGTACACACACACCACTACTGTGGGTCCACACAAAAACATGACCTTATATTCTCCTAACACCCACTGATGGAGGTAATTAGCTGAGTTATGTTTGAGCAGTCATTAGTAGACGACTAATGTTACAGTGCTCCCTAAACCTAAACCTCTTTTGAGTGCGGAGCAGGTTTAATGTTTTCTGCAGACCCCTCACAAATTCAAATGTGTTCAACACATCTTGCCAATGAAGCCGATTCTGATTTAAAACACAGTGACCTCTAGTGGCAGGGGGTTTTTAAAAAAAAAAAAAAAAAAACTGCAGCAAGGTTCAGAATAAAATGCAGCTTTGCATTAAACGGCACCGTTCTGTTTCAGCGGCCACAAGACGTGTTCAGTACAACATGAGTTAAACTCTCAGCTGTAGACAGAGTAATAGCTTGTGTGTGTATTAGATTGGAGGTTTAGTCCACTGAAAGTTGTTGTTGTTGTAGTTCTGGTGTCCAATTACTGAGCACAGTTCTTACTTTTCTTTGTCATGCAGCTCCAGAGCGTCATTGATTTTCTTCAACATCTCGAACCGCTCACGACCCTGAACCTGCAGGAGAGACCGTGGGGAAATTAATCGGAGTGCAAAGTGTGAGGATGTAGCTTTTTCAACAGTTTGGCTCTTCACTTACATGGAGAACAAAGACCTCCTTCTCCTCCTCCTCTGCACTGGAGGCAGACTTAGTCTTCTTTGAAGAAGTCGTGCCAGGAGCTGGGGCACTTTCTAAAGAAACCAACATGACATCAGCAAGGAAGCCAAAACCAAGGACGGAAACTGAAATCTGATCTGATGGAACAAAAACCTACTGCGTTTTTTAGTCTGTTTGGTGCCACTCTGCTGATTACTTTTGTTTTCCTCCTCAGATTTGCGGTCCCTGCCTGGACATGCACAGATACGGACCTCAAAGCAACGGCGACCCAAAACCAGTCCCCTAGGAAGGAGATGAGCATTAGTAGTATGGCTGCACAATATTGGAAAAACATGCGATACGGGTGTTGAATATTGCGATATCGATATTATTGCGATATTTAACATTCCCCCGAAGAAATGGTATTTTCATTATCTAATCGAAGAAATACACTTTAATGTGGCAAAATACGCAGGCTATATGTATATAAAGTGCCCAGATGTAAGTAAATCAGTATGACATCTTTTCAACATTAATGTAATAGCATGTAAACAGGAAAACGTAAACTTGTATTCAAACTATTTGTGCCTAACACACTGTGAAAACAATATTACTTTAAGTTTTTTGCCAGAAAAACGAGCATGTTGACTTTGGTAGGTTTTAAACAAGTGCGTTGGCATGTAACAACATTTCCTGATGCACTAAAAAGTCTCTCTGAAGGTGAGCTGCTTGCAGGTATACAGAGGTACTTTCTAGCTAGTTTGCTCAGGTGTGGGAAGTTGACCTGATGGAGTTGCCACCAAGTGAGAGGGTTCTCCTCACTGTCTACTGTGGGAGATACCAGGTAGCTGTTGAGCTCTGCCTCTATGGCGTGTGATGGTACCACAGATGAAGGAGCTGGGGATGTTTTGAAGAAACTGCCTAAGGATTTTTTGGCCTTCTTTTGGATTGCTTCTGAAGGTAGAAAGGTAGGTAATTAAATCACTATTTCAACTGTCACTCTAATGAAACAAAACAATTAAGAGCTTCATAGTCACCAAATTATTTCAAATCACACATTATGTTAAATTTACAAATCTCATGTTAAATATGTGCATTTTTCAACAAAATATAAACCATAAACACTCACCAATGGCCAGATGCAAGCGGTGGCCAAAGCACTGTAGTCTGACCCACTTGTTGAGTTCGGTAGCTTTTACTACATTAGCGCCGTTGTCTGTTGTAATAGACACTTGTTTCTCTTCTTTCAAGCCCCAGTTTGCTAAAACATCCTGCAGAGCAGTGGCTATGTTTTCACTGGTGTGGGATTCAGGGAAATATGCAACTTCCAGGCAGCGTGTTGTTAGTTCAAGTCTTTGCTGATAAAGTGAACAGTAAAGCTCATGTAGGGTTCGGTGGTGTGACTGGACCAAAGAGCCATGGTGCTAGCGTGAAAGTCCACTTGCTGCAGCTCAGCCTTTACAGTCACTACACATACCTCGTACATTTGTGGAATGGCGACTTGGGAGAAGTAATTGCGCGATGGCACTTGGTATCTCCGGTCCACTTCCTTCATTAGATCCAAAAAGCCCTCTTTGCCCACGGTACTAACTGGGATCATGCATTTGGCTACATAACGTGCAACAGCTGCGGTAATAGCTTTGTGGCGCTTCGACGTTTTTTCGTAAGGAGTGACACTGGCAAAACGTTCATTAATGGTTGTCTGTGGATCGGTTTTTTTGTAACTTGCCCTCATGTTTGTAGTTTTGGGAGTTTTAGACTTGAAGACATCATATAGGTTTTTGTGGTTCCGCTCCATGTGACTGTGTAGATTTGTTGCGTTTCCTCTTGACATTGCCACTATTTTCCCCACATGACTTGCACAGTACCTGTGTCTGTGCTACGTCTTCTCTCCTGAAGCTGAAAGAGTCCCATATTTCAGAAGTGCTATTCTGGGAACAAGTTGTTCTTTGTTTTCGTCCTCTCTCATTCCCTCTTCTCCCGCTGCTGCTGTGAGTCACTGTGCGCATATGGGTCCGCTCTAGCCAATGGGAGAACAGTATCTAGGGGTGTGGATGGCTGGGTGCGTTATTAAGGTCGCGTCTGATTGGTCAAACTCAGATAAACACCAAACATGTGCAACAAACGCATAAAATACTATATAAAATTATTAATTTATTGCATGTCTTTGCGATACGCATATCGCACATACTATTATCGCGATAACGATATTTTTTCGATATATCGTGTAGCTATAATTAGTAGGTAAAATGTTTTAAGATGCTAATGCTAATAACAATGGCAATGCACAACTTGGACATCATTATCAACAAGATGACATATAAGACAGGTAAAAGTGTCAGCCAACATATCAAGTTACATCACAATGCCCTCATCTTTTTACCTAGGGGATCCAACACTCATACTGTGAAAAACAGCAGGACTTACTCTTTAGTCTCGAGGGTCAGAATGGTGAGGATGGGTCTGCGGTTCATGCCCCCCATGCAGGAGCTGTTGCACATGAACCTCAGCAGGATGGTTGACATCTCTGAGCCCGGCTAAAACAAGAGAAGCACGTTTTATTCGTTGCTCATGGAAGTTTATACTATTAGACGTAACAACTTAACAGCACCAGCCAGCTTAATAATAAAAAGATTGTATCATGATGACAAATGCACTCATGTGTCTCTAAGCACAGGAGCCATTAAAGTAAAATGTGCCAAAAAAAATCATATCTGTGCTGATGCAAATCCCACTACTTATTGACTTCTTTAAACTCCTTTACTCTGCTGTGTGTCCAGGATGCTTTTTAAACATCCCTGGACAGTTTCACACTTACTGTGCTTTATGTACAATGAATTTTAAAGCTACATATGGTATCAAAATGAGACACTTTTCTTTGAAAGGGCTACACCATATTAAACGAGAATGGATAAAAACAAGCGTGTTGTGGATACGTTCTGTTTCAGACAGGGGCAAGTGGGGTGGTCGTACCTGGGGGGGCTCATAAGGGACAGTCACACTCTGTCTCTTTGTGTGAGGATCCTCAAAATACAGAGCTCCCTGGCTGCCCCCGACTCTGATCAGGTGGCTGCTATGCGCTACAACTGAATGGCAAACAAATCAGAGAGAAAAGAAATTAAAATCAATTCATATCTATTATCAGAGTCCATTTTCTTCCAGTGAAACACTTTCCTTACCATCCTCATTCTGGTGATGGGGGCATCTGCGGACCACCTCGGCCACATGCTCAGTCTTCTTGTAAACCGCTGTGGCCCTGATAATGGCACCCTGAGGAGGTTCCTGGGTCACCAGCACTTCCACAAGGCTGGTCTTTGCCAGCTGACAATATAGCTTGTTGAGAACTTCTGAAAACTGAGGCAAAGCACGGGGAGAAAGCTGTGCATGTTAGCTGTAGCTGAGCAGAGCTGTGAATGTGCATGTGAAAGCTGGTCTGAGATCTGTCTCAGAAAAAACAGGCACACATCTATAAAAACTCAAATGCTAACCTCTATGTTTGATCAAATTGGTTCCTTTCTCTCTCTCTTCTAAAAGACTAAAATTATAAGTTTACCAAAACAGGAAGGCCAGATTTATAAGACAAAATAATCAGAAGACATTTTTTTTTACCTTGCTTTCATACATTTTTAACCCTTTCATTGCTGGAAGAAGACAGCGGAGGAACATGTCCCGTCATGTCAAGTACTTTTCAACCAGACTGTGCCGCTCCCACAAACCAGAGCACAAGTCACAGGGGGAGGGAGCTTCAGGGAAGACCACCCAAACCTTAACTAAACCGGCCAACTGCTGCACACTGCCGAGTGTGTCACCAAGGGAGCATTACTGCCATTGGCTCTTCAATGGCAGTGACCAACTCTGCTGCTCAAAATTTATCAAATCGTCACAATGAATGAGCTTCCACACAGGCCACCATGAGATACAAAAGAATGGATTTTTAACAAGGCGCCAAGGTAGGGCATGATTTCATTTTACCATTGATTTAAAAAGGTTCTCAATGTTTTAAATAATTTTTTGGGCAATAAAAAAAAAAAACACAATGAGAAAGTTTTATACTGAAACCTTTTCAATTTACAAACCTCAAAAATTCTGTGTAGATAAACTGGATTTAATCTAGTGAATAAACAATTCCCAGAGTTTCTACATATAAAAATTAAACTATGAATGAAAGAAACTCAGTTAAACAGTGAGCAGCGCCTCAGCACTGAGCAGTTATCCAAACTCCTTTACACTCCAGTGGGGAATCAAAGAGCAAATGTCTGCTCCATGGAAGGTTTGGTTTCAGATTCATTTGCTCCAAGTCCCCTCTAAACATTTAATACTTGTGGTCTAATATTTAGATTGAATAGTTTTATTTAAATGTATAATTTAAAATTATATAAACTATATTTATATAGTTGCTCGCCGTTTGACACAAGTACTAGGAAATTCAAGCATATAACTCCAGTGCTGGCTTCTCTCCACTGGCTTCCAGTCCGTTTTAGAATTGATTTTAAGTTACTGATTTTTGTTTTTAAGGCTCTTAATGGTTTGGCACCATCTTACCTCACCGAACTAGTGCACTGGCACAAACCTACAAGGTCCCTCAGATCTTCAAGCCAGTTTCTTTTAGAGGTTCCTATGGCCAGATATAAACGCCGTGCTTTTACTGTTGCAGCCCCTAAATTATGGAATAGTCTACCTTCTAATGTCAGGTCAGCTATTGACCTCAATACTTTTAAATCACTGCTTAAAACTTATTTATTTGGCTTGGCTTTTAATTCACAGTAGGGCTTGATGCATTCCTTTTAATTTTATTTTATTGAACATATGTTATGTGTGTCTGTGTTATTGTGGAGTTTTATTTTTATTTGCACTGATCTTATTTACTTTTAGTCATTTATTGTGATTTTATTTTCACATGTAAAGTACTTTGGTCAGCTGGATGTTGTTTTAAAGTGCTATATAAATAAATTTGATTTGATATAAAATTATATACACAGTAATCTGGTACATATAGAATGTGAAATGAGCTGCAACATTTACCAGTCAGTTTAAAAATACAAGAACTTAACAAATAAGTAAGCTTTCTACATTATTAGACCTCAGGCCTAGAATTACTCACAGTGGAAGTGACCGACTTGGCCGTGCCAGAGTTCTGAAAGCGAAGCTTGAAGCCATATTCCCCAGGGTAGTCGGATGTAACTGGGCCATTGGAGAATGGAGGAGTAATGCCCTCTTTAGGTAACAGCTCAGAGGTCATGTCAAACAGATTCTCAAACCCCTGAGGTAGTGCATGCTCATCACTGAACTGTAAAGGGATAGAAATGAGTAAGTCTGTCTCCACAAATAAATAAATTCACATTAAAGTTACCACCTTGTGAATATATTAACAAAAATCTACCAGAAAATATTCCTCTAAAGCAATTTAGCTTAAAATTAACCACTGGCACGGGTAGGCATGCTTACCATCATATTCATTGGTTCGTTTGTCTCAAAAGGCACTGTTGGGATTGTGGAGATGGGGGGAGTTACTCTGCAAAAACACAAACAAACTGGTTAACTTGTTTTCTTGGAGCAAGCTGACATTTTAACAAAGTGGTCTACCATCCAAAAATTAACTTACACATTCTCCCACAGCACGCTGAAGGAGTCCTGGCTCAGCGGCAGTTCCTGACACAACTGCAGGCTGTCAAAACTTTGCTCATCCATCATCGACTTCCCTGTTTCACGCTTGAGACGATGAGGAAGAGCCAATATGGAGGACTGCAATGGGAATCAACAGGAAGTAAGAACTAGTGATAGATCCATAAGATGTTCAAGATTTCCCATCTGTAGTGTCTGACAAACATTTTCTGCAAAGATTAGTTTTTCTAATCAATTACTTTGTCTACTTTTGTGATTCACTTATGGTCCAAAAACTAAAATCGTTAGATTTTCAGTGATTTAAAAACTGAGAAAATTCTCACATTTGACCAATTATAAATAGGAAATGCTTTAATTGTATTTAATAGGCTAAATGACCTTATCAATCCATCAATAATCAAAACTTTTTCTGAAACACATCATGTCATAGTTTAAACTTATAACAAACAACAAATATATCGTTTGAAGATTACTTAAAAGTGAATATAAATACATAATTAGCTCCAGCAAATGAATATACGCATCATTGCTCGGTTGCTAACCGGAGAAGAAAATACGAGTTATCAACTCGAAAACAAATTACGTTAGGCCTTTTTGCAGCGCGAGTTGTTGAGTAATATTAACATTAGCCTGCGCCATTACCACTTTATAAAACACAAATATTCCTAGAGACAGAAAAGTTTCGAATGAAGTCTCGTTTACCTGCGTCACAATTCAGAGTCCCCAGGACAAAGAGCAAGAAAAGTTAACCTGCTAACGTTAGCTACCGTGCACTGTGTGTCGGCCGGAGGCCCACACAAACTGAATGAAGCTAGCGTTATTCACCGACTTATTTTTACAATAACTCGACACATACAAATTTAAAATGAGCCAGAATGTGTCAAGATGCAAACAACCGTTTTACACCAAGGGTTCTGCTTTCAGTTACAGGCTTTTCTATTTTGGCTAGCAAATTCGCGTTAGCTTATCAGGCTAATGACGTTAGCTAAGCTGCAGAAAAACTTTCTTTCATCGGACAAGCCACTAGTTACTGGTTCCTCTTTTTTTTTTAAGTGGGAGGTCTATGAACACACATCTACCTTGTATGCCCTGCTACAATGGTCCGTCAGAGATGAGTCACTAGTGAGTGAAACAGACTAGCTGAAAGTCGAAAACCCCAAATATTTTGAACAGGAGCACGTTGTTGTGGGGATTCCCAGAGAAAGTGGAGGGAGGGGGCATCGTCCAATCACAGAGCGCGTTGCTCTCCTGAAGCAAGTAACGCAACACTGCGAAAGCCTACTGTTGTGTTCAAAACTGTCGGAAATGTTACATTTAAGAACCACAATACAAAACAAAGTCGTACCTTTTTCTAAAATGTCAATATGCAACATAAACCCTGATTTCTTATAATCAATATCTGAAGCACATATATAATAATATATATGTTTAATAACATTGGTCTTATGATAACATCATTAGAATTATATCTAAAAAGATGACATGATAATCAAATGCAACACTTGGCAATTTTAGTTCCTGTAATGGGTTTTCACCAGTGATTTATGACAAGATGGGAGGGTAAATCTACACTCTGCCTCTGCTTATAACTCCCTGCAGGAAGGTCAAAGGTAAGTGCTCAAACTGTGCCCTTGGAGGGTGTAGGATTAGCATCTCAACTGAGGAAGGCTCAGCAGGCTCGCCTTTATACTGTAGATTGTTTTAAGCTGGTACTTAAATCTTTGACATCATTTAATGATTTCATAATATGCTCCAACAGGCAACATCCCCTGCCTTTGCTGAATCGATAAACTTCTGCACCAGCTGAAGCTGCAGAGAAGCTCTGGACGGGACCTCACTCTGATGACTGCAGCCATGCCACATGCACCATATTGTGGGCATCTCATTCTGAACTGGGCCACTGGAGTCACGTTCAAAGAGTATGCGCTGAATGTTGTCTCGTGTCTATCTCTCTGCTGCTTTGGGACAGTCTGACCTTTGAGTGAATGCTGATGGTGCCAGCGAGTACACCATGAACCTGATCTTGAGCGGCACTACATATAGATACAATAGGGAGATCTAACAAAACAAGACAAGGCCAGAGAGGAAAAAAAGCACCTGTCATAACAGGACCCCTCGCTGCATGAGTGTGTGTGTTTTGGAACCTTCGCAGTGAACATGGGGATACAGTCCAGGATGACATAAGATTTAATTTTTCATATCTGTGATTTTGGAGGCTGATCTTTCTATGCTGAAGAACATAGTTGCTCTACTCTTTGTCTGAGCCTGGTATTCCCAGATGCCAAGTGGAGATCAAATTACAGACCCATGGGGCTTTTTTTAGGATTGAATGTGAAAATCCCAGCGTTAATGTCCAGAATTATTTTCATATTGCCAGGTCAGCCTAGAATAATGTTTCAACATTTGCTTTAATTCTGACCTTATTTATTAATAGGGTTTTTGTATATTTTTCAGAATCCAGTTTGTGAATTCATCTTTTTTTTTCACCATCACACAGTTCGATTTACTGTAGCATGATTTTGAACCTCGCCGACCATACGTGATGCACCAGAATAGTATGTGCACAGGCTCGTTTTCTGCAGCATTTGGGGCAAGTAATAAGGGCTGGTTTCATGTTGTGTGTGACTTTTGCTGTAGACAACACAAATACCTGTTTCCAGTCAGTGGACAGTCCAGGTGAGATTCTGTGCTGTCAAATAGTTTTGAACATGCGTTTATGGTTTAAAATGTTTTGTGTGAAGCAAAGCATCAAGGTGTTACTGTTCATGGCTCCCTCTGTATGAATTCATGTGATATTTTTATCTTGTGTGCCTGCCACGGGTTGTGTACACAAGCCCTTGAATTACACTGGCGGAGGCTCTACGCCACTGTTGCTGGTGTAAAGTTTCTTGTCAGCGTCACACACTCACATGACTGTGTCTGGGGCCCCTGGATTTAGAAACCAGGTGTCAGGTTGTCCAACTCTTTCTCAATGTGTGTATGGGGACAGCAAAAAGCAAACCCAAAGGCATCAAGTTCCAAGTGAGGTGCTGGTGTGTTTTCAAGAATTATTACTATTATTATTATTTTAAAAGTTTGGATGAGCCACAGCAGATATTTTTCCACTGATCCCCCTGCCAGATATAAACATTTCCCACTCAGTCCAACACTCACAGCACACCCCCAGTCCCTGTCCCACAAACACCGTGACTTGTCTCACACCTTCAATGATAACTAAATTTAAGTTTCACCTGTTGCCTGCTGGAGGACGGTCAAGCTTTGTTGTCTGCCACAGGGATGTGCGGGCAAGGTGGGGGTGGGAGGTTCTGGGTGGGCTGTGGTGTGTGACCTCTTTGGCATGTGACCTGAAATAGAAGGGGATTTATGGCTCTTGGGAAGACAGACAATAACAACCAGGGTGTCAAAGACAAGCCCCCATTTTCTGTCAGAGTGGCAAACTCTCACTTGGGTTGGTCTCACACCTGTGCAACCATATAGGCTCCATTATTTGATTGCTATATGAAGCTTTAGGGATTTGTGGGACCAAAGATGTAGTTACTCAACTTTAACTGCCAATCTTGCACCTCATGAGGAGAAAAAAATTTAGATGCATCCCATATTCGTACTTGAGGCTCATACAGAGTTTTGATCTCAGTCTGCTTTATGTAACATGGCTCATAAAACTGGGCCCTGAGACCAATTTGGTCCTCAGCACACTTCTGGTTCATGAGCTCCAGTGACTGGTAAATGATTGTTGGTTTAAACAGGAATCTTAAAATATAATCACACCTCTCTCACTTCTGTGATTTATGTCTTGTTAACCAAAATAAAACCCAGACCCTTCTGCCTGAGAGAGTCCATCAGTGTGGTTTTCTTCCTGCACACATGGTCTCTCCCTTCCCTCCCTCAGCCAATAGTAGTTAATGCTAAGAGAGCTTTCCCACAGTATCTTGACCTCTGTAGCAAGACGTCAGGATCCTGTGGAACCTCTCCCCCCCCCTGCCACCCCCTTCTCCTCTCTCTCCTCTGGATACAGAGAAAGTTATGCATGTGGGTGTGCGGGTGTCCAAGCCGGAGAGGACACTCTGCAGAACAGGACGCACTAGATTGATTACTTTGGTCTTCTCTTTTGAATTTTACTCTTTCATCCGGTTTTGGTGTTAAATTGCTCAAGGTTTAAAGTTGTCTTTTGAGGGAGTTTCACGTGTCTCCTTTTGGCACCAGACGCATCTGTCACCGACTGCCACTGGGTGCCAGGAGCTGTCAAAGTCATGCCGGCCGGGTTTCAGCAGCTGGGAGGGGAGGTAATTTTTCTTAAGAGCTTATCAACATTTAGAAATTGGGCTGTGCTTCTTTATTTACTCATGAAGGTGATGTGATGAATTGTGTGTTGTAGGAACAGTGGTTATTTTAGCCTTACTCTGTGCGTATTTGTTTGGTGCGTATTTTTATTTGGAGACATTTTATGCATGGAATTATGTAAGCGAAATTACATGTTCTTCTAAAATGAACTGCAAATTCTTTTGTATAGTCCAATAAATAATCACAATCTTTTTGATTGGTCTGGCAAACATATTATAAAAATATTAAGATTAATTTGCACGATTCATGTTCTTTCTCTCGGCTTTAGAACAGGTCGCGCAATATATTCGTTGAAAATATGTAATGCAGTCTCTTCTATAGCTTCATTATTTAGAGTCTAAAATATTGAACATCTTAGAATAATAATCTGTCACGCAATGGTCCTTGCAACAACGAATACGTACAGTAGATGTATCAGTTCCAGAGGATTTATCCAAAACATGAAAGTTGCATTGATCAAGCTTCAAAAGATAAGTCCATGATAAAACATTACATGTTTAGGCATGGCTCTGTGTTAGAGTTGTTATAGCTATTAACCAGGTTAATGAATGTACTGTAGGTACAGATTCATACCAGAAAAGAGAAAAATAAATGAGTGCCTGAACAATTAGCTGTGAAACAATTTGAACATGAAGTTCAGTTGAGCATAACTGGCTGCTTCAGGTGTTTTACCTTCTCAGCAAGGACACGTGTACACACATGTAATAGCAGTCCTTCACACCTTCCTCTTTTCTCCATTAGAACTAGATAGTGCTTCGTGTAATCCTTGAATTACTGCACACACACACACACTCACACACAGAGACAGACACACATGCCTTTGCTTTGATCTATCAATACTAAACAGCACTTAGCTACAGACTCAACACAGCAAGGTCAAGACACACACCAGTTTGTACAAACTTTACAAAAGAGGTCACAGAATAGAATAAAAAAATGGAATGGAAAGCCCAATATCGGCCAAGTATAAAATATTAAATGCAAATCAGTTTTATTAGTTTATTTTATGTGTTTTCGTTAACTTATGCACATTATTAGCCAGGTGTGTAAACACTTTTCTCCATTAAAACATCCTTTCATTCAAAGCCAGGACCAAAATGTAAAATAGATTTTTTTTTAAAGTACCATCATGTTGTTGTTGTTGTTGTTGTCAGGGGGATCACATCAACAAAATGCCAGAATTTCAGGATCCCTTGTTGTCGTGGATATTTTGTCAAGCCAGCTGTTCTTAGAACACTTCACAAATCCCACAAAAGCAAATAAAATCACCAAATCATCATCAAAACCACCATGTTTTTCTGTTGAGCTGCTATAGGTCAATACTCTGCCTGTTATAAAACAGTTCTTTGAGACTAGAACACATTTTGTTGGAGGAGAAGCCCTCATCTCCCCAAGGTCATCTTGTCTGTCAGTGTGGAGACAGGTGCCTGTGGCCTGATGGGAAACTGGAGGGAAGCTAAAGTTCAGACATCAACAGTAAAGTAGCCAGTGAAGTCATGAGCAAAGCCTGAGAGATTATATCTCATCAGGATCAGTTATATATAGTTGATGTTAGCAGAGTAAGGGTGTGAGTGTGTGTCCATTTTCTGTATAAAATCACCTCTCAGCATCATGCACTGTTCTGAAAACAGTATCATTTTTAACATGTTGTTTTCCTCTGTACGTGTGTGTTTCTACTCCAGACAGTGACTGGAACCCTTGCGCTATCTGTCTTCACTGCTGTACTGGGATCTCTGGAGTTTGGATACAATATTGGTGTCATTAATGCACCCCAGAAGGTAACAAAGTGACGATGTTCCAAATTAGCCAATAACATCCCAGGAAAGTGCCAAACAGTTTCCAAACTGCATTAAAAAAAAGTGTTAATAGGACTACTGATGTGAGACGCAGGTGGCCAACACACTGAAATTTAACCAGACATCAGTGAAGCCATTACTCGTTATTCCCTGAGTTTACAAGATGGCGGGTTTGAGGCCACAACATGTCATTATGCTGCCTCCAGAGGTGCCTATTTGTTCACAAAGTAAACACTGAGGAGGGAAACACTCTAAAGCACATGTTGCCGTGAAGTCATCTGATGCAAAGGAAGTACAAATGCAGGGGACTGAGATGAAGAGAGAGCAGACGGAGAGTTGTATCAACACAACAAATGCACACTGTTTATGGAGACGACAATGCCTCTGGTGCTCTGGTTATAAAGTATGATGCTGCTAATGTTGCAGCCACATCTGGTGTCCCAGTATGAAGGCATGCTTGGGAGGTGCTTGTTAGACATTGATCCAACACTGTATGACGTGTAAGGGCTCTTTTTACTGCAGGACTGATAAAAGTCAAAAACTTGCATTTATCATAACAGCAGACAATGTCGCTTAGCATGGTATAATACATTTAGAGTCAGTCAGAGAGAGATCAGTGGACTCACAGGACATTGACCTCCATATGGATTTTTACTGTGTTGATAAGCTCTACTGATAACCAGAGCTATTCATATATAGTTCTGGTTAACAAGCCAATATTAAAGTCCTGGTCAGCTTCCAAGTGCGAACAAGGCTGGGGATCATTTGAAAATGTTCATCAAACCCCCTTTTTTCATTTGGCAAAATAATACAAAGGAAACATTTTCTAAACATATACAGCGATACAAGAACTCTGCCTAAATATACAAGGAAAATATTGGTTTGAACCAGGAAGTACTGGGT